GTGGGTGGTAAGGGAGGGGGTGGGGGCAGGGGGGAGAAATGACCCAAGCCTTGTATGCACATATGAATAATAAAATTAAAAAATAAATAAATAAATTCTTTAAAAAAAATCACAGAATCAAAAATACAAAAAAAAAAAGAATGTCATGCTCAATCTGAGAATACCAGGACATTTCTCATTGCATGCATGTAGGGTATTAGTTTACACCTTGATATGCATGTACCCTAAATAGCCAACCTGTTGGTGATAGGTCTGTCTCAAAATCTTGTCATATAATTTCAACACATAATTTGTAGCACTTTGTTTTCCCATTTGTATTTGAATAGTACATGCACATGCTTAAAATGTCAAACAATATAAAAAAGAAAATTCAACCATCCTTGAACTCCTTTCCCTATAATCCTCTTACCCAGAAGTAGTGAACTATTACCAGTTTCTTGTATGTCCTTGTGCATTTAAAAACACATGTGTATATATCCATCCGTGCCCTCTTTTTAAAAACATATCTCAGTGCACTACATGTACTATTTGGCATCTTAGCTTTTTTCACTTAATGTTTTTTCATTCCATGTCAGAATTAGTAGGTCACTTATTCTTCGTATATTTCATATGTGTATAAACTTTCATTTATTTCTCTAATCCTACACATACTGCTTTTTTGCATTTTTAAATTCTCAGTAGTGTCACAACTAATACTGTGTATATATCTTTGTTACTGTATAAGCTTATCTATAGGATAGAAATAGCATTGTCAAGTCTGAGGGAATATATTTTAAATTGAGCTAAATCAACTTACAATTTCTTCCTCACATTACAAAATAGCATATTACCAGCTTTTAGACCTTAGTCTATCTGATTGGTGGAAGGTACTATCTCCTTATTTATGTTTGCATCTATTTAATTATGAACGGGGTTAAGCGGGGTTTTGGTTTTTTTTTATGTTTAAAAGTCATTGGTTTATTCCTTTGCCAGTTTTGTTTACATTTACACTTCTTTCTCATTGTGTTTTATCTTTTGACATAGTTTGTTAAATTGTATATGTAGAATTTTTAATTTTTATATAGTTAGGTTAATTACTTTAGTTTTTTGATTTCTCAGTTTGTATCTGCCCATGAATTTTTCCCCTGCATTTTATTTTCTTGTATTTTTGTGTTTTTTTTCCCTATAAAATTTTGTTAAATAGGTCATTTATTGGTGTTAGGAGAAGGGTAGGAATTCAGCTTAATTTTTTTTTCTTTTTTAAATAACTAGTCTGTCATGTCAGTACTTAAAAAAAAAAGTTTGTGATTTATCTTCAGTGATTTCCATCAGATGCTATATACTCGAGTTTATTTCAGGTTCTTAATTTTGTTCCTTAACTTCTCATCATACTGCCAAACTAGCATGTTCATCTTTTTATAATTGCTATTTTATATTTTGTCATATATTTGTGATATTTTTTTAAAAAGCTTTTACTCTTCTAATAAGCTTTAAATCATATGTAAAGCAAACTTTTGTTTTTTCTTGCATTGTACAATTAGTCTGAAACTTCATCGTTTTTCCTCAGCTTGAAGAATTTTTCTTTTTTTTTCTAGCTTTTAATCTAGACAACGAGCAACCAGATTATGATATGGATTCAGAAGATGAGACCTTGTTAAATAGACTTAACAGGAAGATGGAAATTAAGCCTTTGCAATTTGAAATTATGATTGACAGACTTGAAAAAGCCAGCTCTAATCAGGTACTGTACCATGTAAAAATGTCTCTTACTCTATAGTTAACCCAAGTAGCACATTTATTTTGCATTTCCTTTAGGACAGACCAAAGTATGTTTCGTTTTATTGTCTCTTAAATTTCTTTTCCTAACATCCTAGAATTTCTATTTAAATATTCCTTGAACAGAATACTTGAGCATAATTTTCTTGAATAGGAGGAGCATGTCAAGTACTGTTCTGAGTTTTTTTCTTGTATGGGTAAAAATGTATCTTCGTAATCCTTTCGATAGGATAATATTTTGATACTTCAGTTACTAAATTTGTTTGGCTGGGTCTCTAAGGTAATCATCAAATCTTACTTAGATTTATATGAAAGGTGTTCATTTTAAACAGCTTTTACTTTTAATTACTTACATATTTAAATTCTTTAGTTAGAGAAAACTATTCACAAAGTAATAGGGAATTTTCTTTAATGAGATGTACCATAGATGGAACAGGGAATTTAAAATGGTACAATGTTTCTGGGAAGCATTTGTCAGGAGCCTTAAAATGTTTATTACTTTTTGATTTGACTCCCATCTGTGGGAGTCATTCTCAATGAAAATAATTAGAGGGCTAAGGATAGTAGTTCATTGGTAGAGTGCTTGTCTGCTATGCATGAGGCCCTGTGTCCTAACCCCAGAGCTGCCCAAAAAAAAAAAAAGTGTAACAGACTTTAAACAGGAATGTTCAGAATAAATTATAAAGTGCTTGTAGGATGGAATATAATATAGCCATTAGATCAGGATTTTTGAATGATGACTAATACCATAAAAAAGTGTTTGTTATATAATATTAGATTTGAAAACAGAATGTAGAATTGTATGTGTGGAAAATTTCTAAAGTTTGTTTAAAACATTTACGTTTATACATGTGCCTAAGGAAGAAGCACAACAAAATGCCAACAATTCTTATAGTTAGGTGCTACAATTACTGGTGATTTTTATGTACTGATGTTATAATTACTTATAAACTATTTTTAAAAGTAATTTTTGGTGTACTTATGTGCTAATTGTTATTAATATATTAAGAAGTTATAACAAACATAAACTTTTTACAGTAGACTTTCCTTAAAACTTTTCACTAGTTTACCTATAGAAATTAATTTCCCTTACCTTTTAAGTTCTTTAAATCCCCAAGGTGTCATCAGCTCTACAGAGCATTTCCCAAACTTTTCCATTGGAAAATTACTTGGCTGCATATTTAGCCTTTCTGCCAGCCTTTCTCCCCATTTTAATAAAATAAAGTGCCCTATCAAAAGAAATTCAACTTACTGATTATTGAGAAATTCTTACCTTTGTGTTGGGAATTTTTCTATTCATTATGTTTATTATATATTCATTATAATTAGTACTCTGGGATCACTGGTATCTAGCGTTTCTGCCTTTTTAATATAAGTCCTGAGTGCTAACCGACAGGACCACGGGAGTACCCAGTTTCAGGATTTTTAAGATGCAGATTTTCCTAATAAATCTAGGCTGAACAAGACTTTAGGTATTTCTGCTATTTTTCCTAATTACTTAGAAATTACTCAGGATAGTTATGATTGTATCATCAAAAGTCTTCACCTCTTTCTTCTTTAATTTGCTTTCTAAGTGTGTAGGTGAACAAGACAGGTGTTAGCCCTGAATAAGAAAGATGACAAAAGACCTGCCCTTGTGGAGCTTATATAAATGGGGGCAGTATAAGCAAAAAACATATGAACAGTACAGTTAGCTATGTACATATAATCAGAACCATCTTATTTTCTCTGCTTAGGGCCAAGCTTCTAGGCCTTTAGGCAACTGGCTGGCCTCCTGGTGCTTGCCTCAGGCTATGTTCCTTACACTGACTATAGAAAGATGAGGCAAAGTAAACCTGCCCCATCTATACCACAGCCCTGCTTCTGTGCCAGGTCTGTATTGTAAATGGGGAGACTACTGGCAGAGCACAGAGCATGATTAGCAGCTGCTTAAAGCAGTGAGAGGTAAATGATGGACGTGTTGTCAGAGGAACAAGATAAAGTCCTGTTATTAGAACCAAGGATTAAAGATGCCAAATGGCTGTCTTCCTTCCAACTCCCTGTCTATAAATTCACCTATCTCTTTATTTTTCCTTTTTTAGGGACTGGCACAGTTCAGGTGCCAGGGAAAGGAATCAAGTTACTGGTTAACCTGATATTTATTAGGTTAGTAGAAAAAGACATAAAAGACTGAGGCAAATTTTCTGCCTCTGTCATTCTGAGAGACTATGTCAATGAAAGTCATTACTGAAAACTGTTACCAAATGCTGTAATTAATTTAGTCCCCATCTATTTCTTTTATTTGCCGTGTTCTTATATTTCTTTCCCCCCAACGTATGGGTACTGGGGCTTGAACCTGGGACCTCGTGCATGCTAAGCAAGTACAGTACCACTGAGCTATGTCCTCAGACCTCCTCATTATCTTGAAATGGTCTTCACTTTTGTTGTTTTTTTTAAACAATTTATATTCTAATTTTATTATTTCTCATGACCATACCACTGTCCAAAACAGGGGTACCACAAAGAACTGAGACCATCAATGTGAATTCCATCATTTCCCTTCCTTTCCACCTACATGTCTCCTTTTATCCTCTTACAGGGGCATTATCCTAAACCTTTTCTGACTCTTTATATTATATATGTGCCATATATTCTTTGAATATTTAATTTTTAATTATCTCTAATTTCTTAAATCTTTGTCTTTTTGCCCAAAAAGGTGACCAAGGGTTCCTATTTTTAAGAGAACCCTTCCATTTAATTTCATCTTTTTCTATAAACTACCATCCTGTGTCTCTCCTTTTTTGTCATCAAATTTTTCAAAAGATTAGCCATACTTGGTGCTTCCTGCATTTACCTTTTACTCACATCACAATCTACTTGACTTTACTGAATTGAACTCTTTCAGGTTACTAATCAGTGGGTGCTGGTGGTTCATGCCTATAATCCTAGCTACTTGGGAGGCTGAGATCATCCGAAGGATAGAGGTTTGAGGCCAGTCCAGGCAAATAGTTCAAGAGACCCCCATCTCCAAAATAACCAGAGCAAGATGGACTGGAGGTGTAGCTCAAGCTACAGAACACCTGTTTTGCAAGCGTGAAGCACTAAGTTCAAACCCCAGTCCCACCAAAAAAAAAAAAGCTGCTAGTGTCCTCCTTACTGTCAAGAGCCTTTTTTCAACCTATATTCTACATAATATCCTTGTAGTATTAGGGACATGGTGTTGAGCACCACATTTGATTCTTTTCATTGTTCAGTTCCTCTCCCATTGCTGTTCACTATTTGTACATACTTTCTTTGGTATCTGTCTTCAGCACTTGTTCTTTTATCTTAAACTACTAATAGTTTGTTGCTGTTTCCCAAATTCTCTGCCTTCTAAGCTCCAGGCCATGCTTATTATGGAACCTTTCTACCATAGCAAGCATTTCAAATTCATTTCCTGCCCAGCTCTGAGGTCTACTTCCTTTTATAATTAATGGCATAATCATCATCTTCTATGTAGTCAGCCAACCTTGCATGTCAATGATTAGCTTCTTTACTATCATCCATAGCCAAATATAACTAAATCAAACCAGTTTTTTGTTCCAAGATCATATTTTTTGTGCCCCCCCCCACTTTCTTGTCCTTTATCTGGACCATTCCTGCCACCAGCTGTTTTATTAATAACAAAAACAAAAAATCTTCAGTGACTATCATTATGCATAAAGTCGGTGTTCCAACTGACTGCAGCACACTGAATTCTGTCCCCTGATATACTTTCATAGTTTTTTTTATTGTTCTTTTACAGTTCTTTGTTGTTCCCTCTGCCTAGAATGCCAAGTCCTACATTTCTAATTCTTAGTCTTACTACTAACATGTAGTCTACATCCAGTGTGGTAATTTTACTAAATATTTCACATTCACTTAATGAATTCTATCATCTTCCCAGCCTGAAGAAGGAATTTCACACTACCTACTGTCCTCCTTTTGCACTCAACCAAGTTCCATTATTTTAGGATCCATGTCTTACAGCAGTTCTATTTCCTAGTGCCAGGTTCCTGCCAGAATCTTAGAGACTAGAAGTAGAAGGAAAGCTAGAGGTGTGTTTTTTTTTTCCCTAGGAAGGCTTCTAACACATGCTGAGCAGTTAAATAGTACTTTTTGAAGAAAGATATATGTTGATGGATCTTCATCTTTTTAAACTATTCAGTTTAAAAAGTTAATAGTCTTTTAAGCTGCGCTTTGTAGCAGAAGACCACGTCTTGCATTTGAAGAATCCTTCACTTGACAAGTCTTAGTGCAAGGTAGAACCTGCCTCACCATCCCTGAAAGAACAGAAAATGCTAATTGCTGTCTTTCCTAATGCCCTTTGCATCTTGGGTACTATTTTCCCTGTGTTGAAAGGGAACTAAAGCCTCTGAATTTGAATTGAGAACTAATAATGTAAAGAAGCAGGGACCACAGAGAAGTATCTGGTAGTGGTAGAGATGGCTGCAAGATTAGAGCTAACAAGGCAGCAGTAGCAGCTGTCCTAGTATAGTCCCCATGTCATTGGTGCTTATTGTGTAAGCTGCAGCAGTTTGTACTACTGGACCAGTTCCATGGCCTGATTTTGGGCATTGTAGATTCTAAACCTGATTCTCAAACACTTCTGAAGTTGTTGAACTATTCAGTATCTTTTAAATACGAACCTTTCTCTTGCTTACAGATAGAAACATGAACTAATACATTCCCAACCTTCACCACACTTACAAAGTCAAATTAAGGATTTTCAAAACTCAATAAAATAATCAAACTATCATATTTTTGTTTGATGGAGCACCTCCAATGTTTAATTGAAACTGCATTATTAATTAGGCTGTGACTGGGGCAGACTATAAGCAGATGCACCAAATCAATGTGGCAGTTAAGAAAATGTGGTTCTTATATACTCTAAGAATATGTACATTTTTAGATGGGAGAGGTATAGCATGTTGAAATGGGTATTTGTTTTACTCTAATTTTTAAATGCTTATTGATTAAAAATGAAATATCATGTAAGTCTTTTGAAGCAGTACAGTGAAATATTGTCACAAAATAATTTTAAAACCAACACATTATGCTACAATATTGTGTAGGTGTATGTTATAATTGTGCTTTGTAAAGTTAATGAAAGAGTAATATGACTGAAAATAATTTGAATTCATTGTTTTTAGTTTCCACTTCAGCTTATTTAAAGTGTTGTCTTATCCAGATTTGTTTTACCTTTGTATTATAAAAAGATCAGAGGGTCATTTCTACGGCTGCAGAGAAGGTTGGTTTCAGCATGTCAGCAATCTATTGGTATGTAGTTAGAAAACAATTTTCTTCTAAATGAAAGATAAATAGAACTCTTGACAATTTCTGATACCTTGGGATGTTTCTCATAGAATTGGAGACACCTTTATCCTAACCATTTCATCACTGTAATTTCACTATTCTGTGATGTGTGGTTTAACCATGGGTTGGGTGTTAAGAATCAGAAAACTATAGTGGAAACTTTGAAGGAAGAAGTGAATTAATACACAGATCTTTCTGAAGTAGTCATCTCAAACATGGACATAGTAGAATAGTATGAATTTTAATGGGTTAATGTCACTTCTCTATAAGATAGATATTTTATTTAGTAGTGTTAGAATTTTAAACAGGTGTGTTCTTTTTTTATTTGGATGTATGTCCCTTGAAAAATAGCACATGGTTTATGTTTAATACAGGAGGGCATTTATAAGTCTACCAAATCTTTGTTACTGTAGTTGAAGATCTTTTTCATTCTTTGGACCTTTGGTGAAGATGTTTTCTTCTGAATTTCATACATACATAGAATACTCAAAATGCATAACAGTATATATCTTTGTTTCATTCAGTGTGGGTATGTTCTTGTCAGACTGGTTTTCCATAATTTTGTGGCACTGTGTAAATTAGGGATCATTTGACGAGTAAAAATGTTTCCAGTGTTATCTACTTAGAGTCATATCACAGCTTCACTGTATCAACTTTGTACTGTAGGCATTTATTCTTAGAGCACATAAGATAAAAAAAATGATCATTTAGTTAGCCTTTGAATTTAATGTAAATGCTTATAGTTATTTGGAAACCTGCCTTTGGTAGTACTATTTGAGATATCACACAAATAATAAAGCATCAAATTTGAAAGAAGTAAAGCAATAAAAATGAGGCAAATAGCTAGGCATTGGTGGCTCATGCCTATAATCCTAGCTGCTTGGGAGACTGAGATCAGGAGGATCTCAGTTCATGGCCAGCCTGCCAAATAGTTCTCAAGACCCCATTTCCAAAAATAACCAGAGCAAATATGTACTGGAGGTGTGGCTCAAGTGGTAAGTGCCTGCTTTGCAAACGTGAAGCCCTGAGTTCAAACCTCAGACTCACCAAAAAAAAAAAAAAA